GCCTAATTAAAATATCTTCTTGGTAAATGGAGTGGAATTAAAATACCAATATAGTTATTTAGCCGATATTACTGTGAACACTAATGAAATAATGAGAGATTTCGCACCTAAGGAATTTCAGCATCAGCAGCAGAATCAGGAAAAACAGGTGGCGGTCGACCGGTCCGGTCGACCGGATTCGTGCACAAGGAGGTCGGTCGACCGGCCCGGTCGACCGACGGCTCTCTGGATTTTTGGGGCTTCTGCTGGATGGTGATCGGTCGACCGGGCCGGTCGACCGGAATTGATCGCGGTCGACCGGTCCGGTCGACCGACGCTGTTTTGGGCTGGGCTTTCAGGTTTTCGACCCGATTCGTTTTGTAAGTTCTATATATACCTAAACCTGTTTGTTTAGGGTAGAGGTTGGACGAATTTGAGCAGCCAAAGAGAGAGAATCATTGCATCCAATTGTGAGAGAGCTTTGAGAGATCTAGAGCTTTGTTTTAGGGTTTGGTCTGAGAGATTTGTAACCCTATTTGTATTCCCTTGATTTCTAGTAGTAAAATCTCCCCCCTCCTTGCCCCGTGGACGTAGGCAACTTGCCGAACCACGTAAATTCTTGTTCTTGCTGTGATTGTGGTTTGCATATTATTTGTGGTTTAGTTCAAGTTAGTGTTCGTGTTGCCCTAGAAAGCTTCCGCCGCGCACAACATCAGATACATATGCTCCAACTGATTATGTAATCTAATTAATAGGAAAAGTGACGCTGCAGTTTAGAACTCCTTTCACAATTTAGGAAAATGAGAACAGTAAGGCTATGTTTGGTTTGAGAGAAAGGGAGAGAAAATAAAAAGAAAGAGAAAGTGAAAAGAAAGGAAAAGAAAAATAAAAGAAAATGATACTCTTTTTATTGTTTGGTTAGAAAGAATGTTGTAAGGAAAGTTAGAAGAAAAATCATAAGAAAGTCATTTTCTCTTGTTTGGTTGCCTTTCTGAGGAAAAAAGGAAGAAAATTATCACAACATAATTTTAATTCATACTTTTTGGATTTAGAATTAGATTTTAAATAATTTATAAAAAATAGTTAAATTAAATTGTAATTCTGTCATATTTTCAAAAAAATTACAAGTTATTGTACATGTTTACACAATCTTAATTCAAGAAAATTTAGTCAAATTTACGATGACTCTAAATTTGCATATAATCTTACATGGTCTTGGACTTGCAAGTTATTCATAACCTCAGGTGAAGAAAGATGATTCCGAATAAGCTCTAGACAATGATGCAATTCAAGCATAATTATTCGAAATTAGTATCATTCATATATTAGGAAGTAACAGGTTAATAAACATGTATTTAAAAAAATTGGCAATTTCCTAACACAAAAACTTGAGTGGCCATCAACATCGAGTTTGTAAATATTAACAAGCACAAAACACAACCACCTTTGATGTACAGAAGATTGAGGATTGGGATTAAAACAGATTCGACCCCCCTCTGCAATTCTGTATGCCGCTCTAGAACGAACTTGGTCCGTGATTTAAGAAAACACGCACAGGGCCCGGCCGTCCCGCACAATAAAACCCCGGTGCCGATGTGCGTGAACAAAAACAATGCCCCTTTCACTGATTAGTTAATAGTACAAACACATGCATCTTCTCTCCTCCTTCCACTTATTAACATACACTTGGTAGCAGCGCGCATAAATATAATCAACGTGAAGCCATTAATTTCTGGTGCATGTATACTTTCTCCGTTGTACCGTGCCCACCAAATTCCCACTCGAACAAGGATGAGACGACATGTGTGGCTCTTCACGAGGACCACCTTTGTCTGTTGGATACTGGGTATGAAGGTAAATATTAGAATATAAACTTGTGTGGCCATCAACATCGAGTTTGTAAATATCACATCAACGCGAAAAAGCTTGACGCGGGGGCCAAAAAGGCGATATTATTAGGGTATGCAAAGGGCATAAAGACTACCGCCTTTGGTGTACAGAAGATTCGAAGTTCGTGATCAGCAGAGATGTTACCTTTGATGAGAAGTCCATGATTGCTAAAGCATCCAAGGATGATGATGTTAGGACTGTTGGGACTTCAAAGTTCCAGGTTATTAAGATAGAACCTAAAGACCAACCAGGTTCTAGTCATGTTCAAGTGAGAAATCAGGTAGATGATGAGCTTGAGCAGGAAGAGGTTCGAATACACAAACACTACAACAATAGCAGCTCGAAGATAGTTTGGCTACCACTAGGCTAAGACGAGCATACAAGCAGGTACTGAAGCTGGGGACTGATCAACCCCTGAAGCACTATAGGGAGATTAATTTGGTGGAATACGCACTCTCGGTGAAGGAAGATGAGTCGGTCTCCTTCAAGGAAGCTATTCGGGACGATGATAGTGAGAGTTGGTTGGCTGCGATAAAGTAGGATATGGAATCTCTTCGGAAGAACCAAACATGAGAGGTGGTCCCATTGCTCATAGGAAGAAAAGTTATAGATTATAAGTAGGTGTATAAAAGAAAAGAGGATCCTTCAGAGCTCGGTGGTACAAGACTAGGCTAGTGGCTAAGGGGTTTTCACAAAGAGAGGGTGTAGATTACAATAAGATTTTTTCTCTGGTGGTGAAATATACTTCTATTCGGGTGCTATTGAGTATTGTTGCTCATGGTGATCTTGAGCTGGAACAACTCGATGTTAAAACGGTCTTCTTACACGGAGACTTGGATGAAGAGATCTACATGTATCAACCTGAGGGCTATAATGTTGAGGATAAGGAGCATCATGTATATCGTTTGAGGAAGTCACTCTATGGACTGAAGCAATCTCCTCGGCAGTGGTACAAGCGATTTGACTCCTTCATGTTGAAGTATGGATTTTCTCGAAGCGATTATGATTGTTGTGTTTACATTCGGAAGCTTCGTATAGATGATTATATCTATCTCCTTTTATATGTAGATGACATGCTTATTGCTTCAAAAAGTAGGGTGGAGATAGATAGGCTAAAATCTTAACTTGGTAAAGAGTTTGAGATGAAGAACATGGACACTACTAGGAAAATACTGGGTATGAAGATTAGAAGAGAGATGGCGAATCGGCGATTGTTCTTGAATCAGAAGGGCTACATAGAGCGGGTGATCGTAAGGTTCGGGATGCAAAGTGCAAAATCGGTGGTGACTCCATTGGCTCCACACTTCAAGCTTTCAGGAAAACAATCTCCCACTACAGCGGAAGAGAATGCGCACATGGAGCGCGTTCCCTATGCTAGTGCAATTGGCAGCTTAATGTACGCAATGGCGTGTACACGTCCAGATTTTTCATAGGCGGTCAGTGTCGTCAGAAGATTCATTGCGAATCTGGAAAAGATGCATTGGAAAGAGGTAAAGTGGGTCCTGAGGTACTTGAAGGGTACCGTTAATACGGGGTCTATGTTTTGATAGAGATACATGTCAGATTGACGGGTTTGTGGACTCGGATTATGCGGACGATCTAGATAGACGACGATCTACTACTGGTTATGTATTCAGGATACATGGGGCTCCAGTTAGTTAGCGATCGATGTTGCAGGCTACAGCGGTACTTTCTACTACAGAGGTTGAGTACATGGCCATGGTGAAGGGAGTGAATAAAGCATTGTGGTTGTGGGGTCTTCTAGACGATTTGGGGATTGAGCAGGAGAACGTGAACTTGTGGTGCGACAGTCAGAGTACGATTCACTTAGCGAAGAATCAAGTTCATCATGCTTGTACCAAGCATATCGATGTCAGATATCATTTCGTACGGGATGTCATAGAGGAAGGAGATATTTCTCTTATGAAGGTGCATACGAATGAGAATCACGCGGACATGTTAACCAAGGTGGTCACGGGTAGCAAGTTTAAGCATTGCTTGGACTTGCTTCATATCAGCCCGTGTTGATTTGCCCGAGAGGGCATGGCCCTTCGGGGCGGTGATAGGGTGAGGTGGAGACTATATGGAGAACAATAGGAGAACTACGGTTAGCTTGATCCCGATGGAGGGTACGTAAGCAACCGCAGTATAGTGGCACAGCTATTTTGGCCGGGTTTGACCAATGGAGATCTCTCTGGTGATGTCCACGGTGTTCTTCTGGTGTTTCGTCCATAATTTGAGGTTTATCAAATAATGTACGAGGTGGAGAATTATGAACACGGCGTGATTGAAAAGCGCTCACGTGATTGTGAGCGGCATGATTGAAAAGCGGTGCAGCAGTCATGGCCCACCCGCTTCACTACGCAACTCATGTGCAGCGGTTTTCAGTTTCGGCACCGGCCCAATTTTTTCCTATAAATAGCGTGTCATCTTCCTAGGGTTTTGTGTGGGGAGAAAAAAGCAGAGGTGAAAACGAGTTTTTTCGGCTGTAAAACAAAAGAGGGTTAGGCAGCAGTCCTTTTAGATAAAAAACAGAGTCTTTTCAGATCTAGAAAAGAGAGATCTTGAGGAGAGAAAAGAGAGTCTTTTCACAAGAGAGATGCCAATTTCTTTTGGGTAAAAAAATCAGATCTTCTTCTTTGAGACGAGCTTGTGGATTGTACAAGTCGTCGGTGTTCTCCTCATAGTGGAATCTCCCCTCACCCCTCCCGTGGAAGTAGGCAAGTTTGTCGAACCACGAAAATCTCGGGTCTTTACTGTTTTTATTGTGTTTGCTATTGTTTGTAGGTTCCCTCAACAATTCAGTCCTAGAACTGATGAGAGGAAGAGTGTATATTTCACCTTGCTGGGATATTTCACTTTCTGTTCTTGTTTCCTTCGCGAAATGGGAATATAGAGGTTGGCTTGAGTTTTGTGAAAACAAAAGTCAGGGCTTTCTCAGGTTGATATCGCTTCCGCGGCGGGGTGAGCGTGTCGGCGCCCCCAACAAAAACTTTGGAACCGAAAGATCTTAAAGGCATGCCATGAACGCATGTTTTTTACGTGCCAAGTTTAAATTTTAATTAGTCATAAATAACTCTAAGAATATATAAAATTGACTAAGGAAGATGGTTTGATTATAACTTTCTTACCTCATTTCTGCTAACATCCACAATCCTTTCCTCAAGAACATCTGCATCTTCTATCCCTAGCTTCTGAAGCAAAGAGACGGTAGTAATGGTAGTAGCACGTGTTACATGCAAGTCATCTGTAATAACATACGTGGCTGCTTCTTTTAGAAAAACGCTGTTCTTTGCATTATTCTCCACTTTATCCCAGAGGCCACATTGATCCGTTGCCTTTCCACAGAGGCAGGGAGAACCACGAAACGAACTATAAAGCTTATTCTTGATGAAGCAACCAAATGTGGGGCACGTGTAGTGTCGCCGGGGCATTAAGTCATCAGCATTGACCACTAAGTCTTCACACGGTATTTCTGCTTCACTTCTGGGCTGGAGCAGCATCGTCTTACAAGCTTTGGTCTCCAGATACTTGGGGTCGAGATTCTCCACGCTCTTGTACAATTTGTCCATGCATCCAACTGATGACTCCTTGTTGAGGAGTCTGATAATAGTCCCCATTGGCAACGTCAAGAAGCTAAAAAGAATATCTACGAACTCCTCCTCTGATTCAGCAAACACCACCCTGTTCCTTTTTGTGTCCACGACGAGCTTCAACGTGACAGTAAACATCTTGCTCGACGACTCCAAAGAAGAAGAGGCTTCTTTTGCTGTCGTGACAAACACCCAAGAAAAAAAAATAACCATCGGAGGAAAGCACAGAAAATATCGAGAAAACAAAACGCAGATATCACTTACGCGGAGATCTCCACCCTAAAACCCAATACAATCTTTCCTCTGAAACTAAGTTCTTCTCAGGTTACTTTGATGTTCTCTGGCTATTTTTTTGGTGTTGTAATAAAGTCGTATATATAGAATTGACCAGGCCCAATTTGAATAGGATTAGAATACTCTTGGTGACCTGCAAGACACAAATCCGAATTCTCATCAATTTTCTACCAATAGGAATTCAATTCCTGTTAGGACTTCAATCCAATTCAACTAACCCATCGCCAAAGCCAACTCAAACAGCAAAGTTCTCTTGGCGTTCACACTCTCCAGACGAAGGAAGTCATCGATATATGCTACTCCAGTACTCAACACTTTCTTCTTTTCTTGATTCTCTGAAGTCCTCCTTCAATTATACTTGGAACTTTAGAAAGTGCGGTAATCTTCTGTTAGAATTTCTTACCTGCAAACCATTTAATTTTCGCTGTTTCTTTTGGCTCTCTTTAAGTCTTAAAGATTGTTTTACCATATGATATGATGCAGAAAAGTCCTTTCAAATCTTCTAGATATTAGGAAGGCAAAAAATTGCTAAGTTGATTTCTATGCAGAACCCCAATTAAATAGCTTGTTTGAATCATATAATCTGTGTCCCCGAGATGAACCATGATGTTATCTACATACACACTGCACATTATGCGTATCGACAAATTACTAGGCTGGTTTGTGGGACTCTGAGCTGTTAAATTACAGGACTGTGGAAATATTTCACTATTTGCAAAGACTGCAGGCCGTCAGATATTAGTTGGTGCTTCCTGTTTCCATGCAGTATTTTTATATTATTTTGATAATTAATATCATTCATGAAGCCCACCGAGTGAAAATTTTTATTGGTGAGTTGTAAAGAGTATTTGCATCAAGGATGTAGAGGACTGTGAATCTACTTTTTGACAGATATTAGTTGAGCTGTTAAATTACAGGACTGTGAATCTACTTTTTGACTTCTCCCCGAACAATTAACCAATGGAAACAGTTGGAAAGCAAGGATCGCACAATTTTTGGTCCGGTTCTGCGGTCTTGATTTTAAAGAATACCTACAATTAGTAGTTACTTGCGTTAATACTATTAGCTTATCTCAGTAGGTCCAACAATTAAAAGTATTTTTATATTATTTTTATAATTAATATCATTCATGAAGCCCACCGAGTGAAAATTTTTATTGGTGAGTTGTAAAGAGTATTTGCATCAAGGATGTAGAGGACCTCCGTTGCACAATTTCACACCAAAAGAGCAACTACAATAACAACCAAATCTTCAAATTCAGGTGTTAGTTCCTAACATAAAACGACTAATCAATGATTGCCAACATTTCGATATCATAATCTGTCAGTGCTGGACTAACTAGTGTGTGTGTGTGTGTGTGTGTTTTCCTTTTTTTTAATGATCACATTCACAAAGGAAGAATATGGTCAAAAACAAGAAAAGAGAGGGAGATATAAACCAACCCCACTTTAAAAATGTGATCCATTGAAAGCTTGTACTCTGAATAGTTTCAGTTGTGTTTTTTATCAGAACTAATTCCTTTTATTTTCAAGCGGTTGTTGTTCATTCTATTTCATTAGGTCATGTCTTGTTGGGAATTTAACACTGAAACCCCTAATGCAACGAAAAACGCAGAATAGAGAACAGTACACAAGATTTACGAGGTTCGGCAACTGCCTACGTCCTCGGGAGCCACACAGTCAATTTCTTATTTAATCTAACAAGAAATTACAAATTAAGAGCAAATCTCTAAACTGAGATTCCTCAAATGATCACTGTAGCTACAGTGTTAATACCCACAATAAAATCCCTCTTCTCTTTTCTCTCTCTTCTTAAATCTCCCCTCAAACACTGTTGAGAGCTGGAGATCAAAAGGCAAAATCGCTGCTGCGATTTGAGAAGATGAACGCTGCTGCGTTAAAAGGATCCGCCGCCAGAGAAAAGTCGGGGAAGGAAAAAGCAACAAAACCCTAGGAATTGGGGCTGCTTTTATAGGCGAGATTGATGGGCTGGCGACAGCCTGTCGCCAGCCGCGTTCGATCGAACGCGGGTGTGGGACTATCGCCAAGACGCGTGGTGCGAGAGTGCGGACGCGAGGGTACAGAGCGCTCGAACGCGAGGCCGTCGCCCGCACCAAATCAGCGATGGCTCGCGTCGCCGCCTCCGAGGGTCGCGTTCACCAACGCCACCATCCGTTCGCCCAATTCGAGCTTTCACCGAAGCTTTTCGCCGTCACTCCCACGCTCACCAGCGTTCGTCCCGAGCTACGTCGGCAGCTCTCCTCGTCGCCGGCGGAGGTTTGTTTCCACCCCTAATTCTAACAATCTCCCACTTGGAGACCAAACCGACGGCAACAGGCTATCTCATCAAACTCCTCTTCTCCTGTGTGGCTCCGCCCTCATCATCTATGCATGAAGGCCAACTGAAGTTGCACGCAACTCCAGTTTCTGAAAGGTCGCTACCTTTGTCAACATATCCGCTGGATACTTTCTTCCTTGGATATTCTGTTGAAATCCTTTGACAACTCGTCGGGCTCTGTATCTTCTGGAACCATTCTGCTCCTTTTTCACTCGATACACCCACTTGTTGTGACGTGCCTTCTTCCCCATGGGCAACTCAGCTAGTCCCCATGTCTGGTTGGAGATCAGAGATTTCTTCTCTTCTTTCGTAGCAAACTCCCACTTGCTCGCATCTCCACTCTGACAAGCTTCATCAAAGCTTTCAGACTCTCCTCCATTTGTCAGCAACATATAATTCATGTATCTGCTGTTAGGCACAGGAGGACGAGTAGTTCTCCTCAATATCGGAGCTGGTGCGTCGGGCTCCTGCGCACCGTTCTGTCCAACAGTCTCTTCTGGCTGAGGACCTTCTGCATTGGGTTCTTCCGAGAGGTTATCTGGGACATCATCTGCATCTACAAATGTTGACTCGCTCTCTGAGTCACCATCATCTGTCCTGTGCATGTCCTTGTACATCACCTTCTCGTTGAATGTCATATCTCTGCACCTGATCACCTTCTTGTTTTCGTTGTCCCAAATGCGGTAGCCGAACTCGTCTTCACCATACCTGATGAATGTGCATTTCTTGGACTTGGGATCAGGCTCATTCCTGTTTTGATCACTTATATGCACATAAGCTACACAACCGAAAACTTTGAGATGTGAGAGGGTTACCTCCTTTCCGCACCATACCTCTTCTGGTATTCTGTGCTCCAATGGAACCGATGGACCTCGGTTGATCAAGTAAGCTGCTGTGTTGACTGCTTCTGCCCAGAACTGCTTCGGTAGACCTGACTGCGTCCGAATGCTTCTGGCTCTCTCTGTCAACGTTCTATTCATGCGCTCAGCCACACCATTATGTTGAGGCGTGCCGGGCACGATCCTCTCCATTCTGATACCGTGCTCATAACAGAAACTTCTTGAATCTGGTGTCTTCATACTCACCACCATTGTCTGTTCTGAGTTTCTTTACCCTCAAACCGGTCTCATTCTCGACCATGGCTTTCCATCTTCTGAAAGCCTCAAACACTTCTGACTTTTTCTTCAGAAAGTAGACCCATACTTTCCGAGAGTGATCATCAATAAAAGTCACGAAGTAGTGTTTCCCACCAATCGACGCGGTGGTTGTTGGTCCCCAAACATCTGAGTGAACAAGCTCTAGCTTCTGCTTCCTGGGGGGTCTGCTACTTGCCTGAAAGCTAACTCTGTTCTGCTTTCCAAGTATGCATTCTTCACACACATCAATCTCTACTGATTGTAAACCTGGGAGTTTTCTCTTTGTGTGCATAACCTTCATCCCCTTTTCACTCATATGACCGAGTCTCTGGTGCCACAGCTTTGAAGTCTCATTGCCTGCCGCAACTGAGATCGAACAACGTGCACCTGCTGTCATATACAGTGTACTAGTCTTCCTGTCTCTGGCAATCGTCATTGCGCCCTTCGAAATCCTCCAGTCATCGCCATGGAAAGTCATCGTGTAGCCTTCACTAGCCAGCTGGCTTACTGAGATTAAGTTCCTCTTCAGGTCGGGAATATACCTGACATCCTTCAGCTCCCATACTGACCCATTCAGCTTAATCTTCACTACACCTTTGCCAATAATGGCACATGCTTGATCGTCACCAAGATATACATTTCCAAGGTTTCCGGGGATATACTTCTCGAGGAATTCTTTCTGAGAAGTAGCATGGAATGATGCTCCCGAGTCCAACACCCAAGACTCCTCCTTGCTCTCCAAAGAGCATATCAGCGCATCATCTCCTCCTGAGGTGGAGGCAACATTCACATCTGCATTTGCCTCCCACTCCTCCCGTGCACTCCTGCACTGATTCTTGTAGTGCCCGGTTTTCCCGCACTTCCAACACTCGATAGCCTTCGAACTGTTGGGATTTCTGGATTTGGATCTCCTATCATCTGATCCATTTCCTCTGGTTGAACTTTTACCTCTTGACTCTGTATGCAATACTGAAGAGGTTGTAGCTTCACCCGACTCTCTCCGTCGGATCTCCTCACTGAGAACCAGATCACGAACGTCGTCAAACTTCAACTTATTGCTTCCCGATGAGCTACTCACAGCTGTGACCGTAGCATTCCAACTCTCTGGTAGGGAAGACAAAAGGATCAACGCTCGAACTTCCTCATCAAACTCAATACCAACTGAACTCAATTGGGTCGTGACTGTATTGAGTTCATTGAGATGATGTGCCACCGATGCACCTTCCGCCATTCGCAGATTAAACAACCGCCTCATTAAATGGACTTTATTTGAGGCTGATGGCTTCTCATACATATTTGAGAGTACTGCCATAAGATCTGCTGTGGTCTTCTCCTTTGCAATGTTAAAAGCAACATTGTGGGTTAACGTCAAACGAATAACCCCGAGGGCTTTTCTGTCCAGAAGATTCCAATCTTTTTTCTTCATACCCTCTGGCTTCTTCCCCGAGAGAGGTTGATACAAATTTTTCTGATACAGATAATCCTCTATCTGCATTTTCCAGAATCCGAAATCTGATCCATCAAACTTCTCTATTCTCACCTTTCCCTCATCTGCGGCCATGGCTCCCACTTGAATCTGACTTCCTCTAGATTGTTTCACGCTCTGATACCAGTTGTTGGGAATTTAACACTGAAACCCCTAATGCAACGAAAAACGCAGAATAGAGAACAGTACACAAGATTTACGAGGTTCGGCAACTGCCTACGTCCTCGGGAGCCACACAGTCAATTTCTTATTTAATTTAACAAGAAATTACAAATTAAGAGCAAATCTCTAAACTGAGATTCCTCAGACAAACACTGTAGCTACAGTGTTAATACCCACTTTATAAAACCCCTCTTCTCTTTTCTCTCTCTTCTTAAAATCCCTATCTTTATCTCCCCTCAAACTCGGATTGAGAGCTGGAGATCAAAATCGCTGCTGCGATTTAAAGGGGATGAACGCTGCTGCGTTTAAGAGAGTTGAACGCTTACTGCGTTTGGGGTTTTTCACCGCCGCCAGAGAAAGAGGTCGGGGAGGAGGAGCAGCGAAAACCCTAGGCCTGGGGTTTTCTTTTATAGGCGGAACGATGACAGGCTGGCGACAGCCTGTCGCCTCGCGTCCGCCTTCCGAGGGTCGCGTTCACCAACGCCACCATCGCGTTCGCCAATTCGAGCTTCACCTAAAGCTTTCGCCGTCGACTCCCACGCTCACCAGCATCGTCCTCGAGCTCGTCGGAGCTCTTCCTCGTCGGACGGAGGTTGGTATCCACCTCAACCTAACATGTCTTTTCCAGGAGATCATTATGCTTACCCTTAATTATTGGTTAGATCTTTATCATTATGCTTACCCTTAATTAGGATACTCAAAAATGAATGTCCTGGTTCACTTTCCTTGTCTACTTTCCTACCTCATCCTACAGTTAAACATAATCATGCTCTATTAACCATCAGTAGCTCTTTTATGACGTCCAACCTCTCTAAATAAATTTACCAGGATTGCTACTATGTACTTTTTGCCTTTTTTTTGGGATAAAAACGGTGGGACTTCCCCTGCATTTCATTAAAAAGAGTTTAACGAAACATATAGATACAACACATTGCACTCTCCTCGCAAAATACAAAAGTAATACAAAAGGCGATATAGGCATAGCAGCGGTGAAGCTCAATAGAGGAGTGCAAAGGCCAAGTGAGGGACTACTCGCTATAAGATCCACTCTCTTGGTAACCCGGTGATACATCAATGTCCTACAACCTTCTGTCATCATAGTCCTCATGAACATTGCGGCATAAATCGACATGAGTAAACTGTATGAAAGCTCTGTCCCTTTGCCTCATCTGACAATGAACATGTCTAGAGCATAAAATGAAAAAGCATGTGAAGAAATGTACATGATGCAGATCTTGTACTATTTCCAAAAATTCTATTATTTCTCTCATGTCAGACCGCCCATCAAGAGGCCACTATAATTGAGAAACATAAAGATTGATCTCTTTTATTCTAGTTTTGATCCAAGCAGACCAAATATCACATAAAGATCTTAGCTGATCAACACCACCGAAGTACAATCTAATATTTTCCCAGAGAACATTCATAAAAAGATAATGGAGGAATAAATATTCTACTATTTCAGCATTTGAAAGATAGAGGACATAGATATTAGGTCATCAGGTTGTCCCACGTCAGGATAGCATTTCTAATGGCAAGCCACAAAAATGCTTTCATAGGTACTCTAGATGTCCATATAACTTAGCCATTGCTGATTTACCCCCACCTAAATATATTTATCTATACCAAGTAACAAGTATAAACTGAAATTTGCTTTACTCACTGAATATCTGATAATTGAGATGTTTCTGGAAATTTGACTTTACTCGCTAAATATCTGATCTATCTTCAACTATCAACAGTTTACGCACAAAGGTCTCATTCAACTAAAGAGATTTCAAAAAGAAAAAAATTGCATTATATTATATTGAATAAACTACTAGATTACCATCAAAAGTTCTGACCTTATTGGCAGAAAGTTTGAGACATATTAAAACATTAAATGCAAGTTCACTAGTAAAGGTTATAGCTTAGAATGCCTTCCTCAGCTTCTTAGGAGAGAATACTTTGTTCAGTGGATTGGAAGATCATACGACCTTTCAACAGATCAAAACCTGCATCACAGCGAATATAGAAGGAAATAGTTAGTTTAACAAGATTAATATAAGATGCAATTCTCAGAGTGAAAAGCTTTAGAATTGTGGAATAATAAGAAAACTTCACTTCTGATTCTCCAAGTTCCAGCTCCTTCTCAACTAAGTTGTTAACGGAAGCTCCAAGCTCTTTGATCACACCAATTCCAGAAATTAGTGAAACTGGCGTCTCAGCCATCTCATTAGGAACGATGAACCTCACTAACCTGTTTGCATATCCCCCGCCACATTCTGTATCAGATACCGGTAACTTCGGATTTATTTCATTTAATGTCATGCTACCTATATTATGCTTGCACTTACCCCTCCCTACATGCCAGCAATTTTCGCATCCTACAGCACTGCTTGTCTTTGGCAGGTTCACTTCAGTTCGCAGAATCTGGTTGTTGCTTTTAAAATGTGGGTAGTGGTGATTGCATTGTCTCCGAGGAACGCAAGAAAAAAAACTTACTGATCCTAAGATTCCTCTTCATATTAGATGTAATGATTCTCTGTTCAGTTTTGATGACAAGCCAATCTGTAATAGCACTGAAATAAATACCGAGTTGTGCACGCCAGGGACGGGAATAGGAGGGCGTTTTCTAACAGGTTTGTTAAATTTACAGTCATGGATGAGATGGTTGCGACACACCCCTCCCTCTATGCAGTGTCGAAATCTTCAAGGAATTGAAAGTACTAATTGGCACTTTGGTAGAGGGGAAGGTAACTCTGGGCGAAACAGAGGTGTGAAAATGCTTTTATCTCATGGTTTCTTAAAGAAAAGTCTACCAATCCTCTAGAAGATTACCCAACTTATTATTCTTTCATTATTTTGTGGTGCAGGATTTGAACCTGTTGAAAGCTTGTTTGACCTCTCGTTCAGCTCTGAGCATTGTCTTCAGTCCAAGAGAAAGCAATGCGCTGATCTTGCAGGAGTTGTATATCTTGATCTAGTGCGTTTGCAGCATTAGGCATCCGCAGACATTTTATGATTCCTATTATGGTGCTGAGCTTCCACAGACTTTGTTCCTTAAGACTCATTATCAATTTTTATGTTGTTTGAAGTCGAACATTACCATTTATGTTTCCAAGTCTCAAGTTTTGTTTTGTTTCTTAAAGGTGAGCTCAAGTTATGTTCATTTTGTTACCAAATAGGTCAATTCAGTCTAAATGATATATTAAATCCAGTTCTTGTGTCTACATGTGCCTTATAAATGTTCTACAAATTATGTTTGAAAAGCCATTTCCTGTCTCTTCATTCACCTAGCTGCATATGTTCTATACATTAGGACACAGGTCACTCAAGCATGGTTTGGGAGACTATATAAAGTATTAAACAGCAGTACTATTTGACATGTTTCATTCTTGGTGTTTTTTTTAATGACAATGGATAGCATCCAAAATTAGTTGGTGGTTCTTGTATTCATGCATTTCAGTCATTCCAAAAGTAGAAGGGTGCATCTTACTTGGAATTAGAAATAATTTGTCTTCTACAGGAAAAACAAAAGCATTTTCTCAATAATCTCTATAAACAAAACTAAATTAATCAAATAATTATGTTTAAAAGGGGCACTAAAAATAATAAAAATTTTACTTGTACATGCTTGGAATTTCATGTTAGTGGAAGCATTATTGCCTTCCTTCATCCGTCCAGCTCTCCCAGCCTCTTCTAGTTCAAACATTTATGTGACTCAACTTTTTTGGGCCTGCACCTAGTTGGAGTTCTTGATTGGTGAAAAGCATTTCAAAGAAATACATAAAAATGCACAGACTCAAATTCCACATGAACAGAGAATTATCATAGACAGGACACAAACTGAACCTAGAAAAAGAACTTAAGTTGTACTGTTCAATTGACCAAGGCCCTTCTACTATCCCAGAAGTTTAACACATTCGATGAAAAGTTTGCTATGAGATTATAGATGACACTAAATGGCAAAGCGATACTTTAAAATGAAATCTATATGTTCCATGCCTTGAAATTTAAACTTACATATAGGCATCAAATTGTACAATGATTTAATTAACCTAATGTTATCAAAACTCTCAACTGTTGATGCTTAACATAATATGAATTCAGTGTTCCATCCCTTGAAATTTAGACTTACATATAGGCATCAAATTATACAATGATTGGATGATTTTTCAGTCCAATGGATGAGATGCGCATTTTGAATTGAATAAGCTATTTCACCAACCTTGTCAACTAACTTGTCAAAGATCATTATTATTTTGGGATGTTTTCCGCTTTGAACTAAGAGAATATGTTGCGTTCTCACTAGAAATTGTAGTTCGGATGGGTTTTTTTTTTTCAGTTTTGCCTCTAACCTCGAACCATCATTATTGATCTGAGTACGTAGCTTCTGGGGATTCACTATTGAGCTCAATTGGTTCGCTTGATTGCCCACCAAAATTTTCATAGACGTCTTTTCTGAAATCACCTGAAGAAAAATCATTCCCGACTATCAGCGCAAGATCATCAAAATTACGCAAAGCTTCGTTGACATATTCCTCCAACTTAGGAGTGAAGGAATCATATGTTGTTAGATACATCAATGGTTTTCTGATCCTCTCCACTACAAAAAAAATAGTGGAGGGACCACTACATAATCACAGCCATTGATTATCTAGTTGATGGTTATGATTTTTTCTTTTAGTGTAAATTAGGAATGAGTGCAATACACGGGGGTATGATAAGTGTTAGATTTAGATTGTATCATAACCGCCTACTAAATAATCAACGATTGAGATTAAAAGCAGTGGTCTCTCCACTACTTTTTTGTAGTGGAGAGGATCCAAATCCTTCGATTACAGCGTTATATAATCATGGAAAGAATTTAATAAAAACCATCAAATGTTAAATTTGCTAATGGCCCTTAACAAGTTAATGAAGTTGAGTTACTGCGCTATAAGCATCACCTATCAACAACTTAGGATCTCAATAATTTTAGTCTAATTACACAAAATACAAGCAATTATCCCTCGTCAACTGCACCTAGTGGACAATACAAAATTTTAAAAAAAAAAACTAAAAATCACTTTTTTCTCATCTCAGTCTGCATTTTTCTCACTATCCAAAGAGCGTAACTTCTGAATTTTAACTTCCATAAAATAATCCATAGATTTATAAGCGAACAAAAATAAACGGAACAAATTCTGCCTAAATTTTGAGAGACGAAGATTTCAGCGGGTGCAGATACCGTGAGGGTGATGGCGTTTGAAGGACGGCGGTGATATGGGAGAGGAGGAGGAGGATCAGAACACCGCGGCGGCGGAGAACCGGATCCATCGTATCTCTGCCAGGTCCGCGGTGGAGGTGAACCGGATCCGATGGTTCTAATGGTTTGGGCCAAAGCGGTAAGATGAACCCGCGCCACGCTTGATCCGAATAAACCGTATTTAGGCGATGGTTTTTATAATCGTGGAGTTTTGTTTAGATCCTAGTCCGTTGCATCTTTCGTATTTTGATATTAGTCCCCCAAATCATTGTAATTGCTATTATAAGGCTTTTGGATAACCCCCCAATTGGCATTGGTTTGAATCTAGGGGAATTTTTCTTCAACTTTAATTGTTTAGGTTGAATGTCAGTTATACTCATTTTTGTACAAACTTAAACGTCAAATGTCTAACCCATGGCGGGTGACTTAAAGGGTTAGGAGGTTTCATTAAAGGGTTAGGAGGTTTCAATGGCTCATATGGGTTTGATTACAAATTAGGTTTCAAAAAAACGTCAACAACATCTAAACCTGCTTAAACATGTACAATCTAGCTTAGGGTGTGTTTAGAAACTTCAAAATAAAAGTGGGGCCGGACTGGGTTTTTCTTAACCAGGTGATCCATATAAAGGTTCCTAAAAAAACTAGTTTAAGGATGCAAAATTTTGACAAACTAAATATAAGAACTAGTTCGATTTGAAGTAGAAAGAGGTAGTTCGATTCGGACCAAAATTTTGCCGAACTAAGCACAAAGTTTTTCTTATCAACATTGTACCATCTAAAATAAGTTTTGTAGAGTTATCGAACACACCGGCTCATTATTTTATGTTTTTGTAATACCCCAACTCTTGAGAGGGTGATATGATTAGTATTGATAGATTTGATTGGAATACTCATACCACCAAGATGCATCTTCTTTTCAGGAACCCAACTCTTAGGAACTCCAAAGTTAAGCGTGCTTAGCCTGAAAAAATTCTAGGATGGGTGACCCCCGGGAAGTTTTCCAGGGAGCGCGTGAGTGAGGACAAAACGTGCTGAAAAGACATGTGGTGGTTTGTGAGGCCAGTCCATCAGATCTAATAGCGTACCGACTCCGGGATTCCGGGGCAGGCTTTACAAATGGTATCAGAGCCAAGCCAACCGGAATTGTGAGAGCTAAGTGCTATGCGGCGCAAAGTGCTACGTCGAGAGGGCGGGAGCCACCTCTTGAGGCCGTAGGAGCCACCTCTAGAATCTCACACGGATGGTACGGTCTTGGATGATATGATTTGGCACAACGAGGACGTTGTGAGTTTAAGTGGGGGAGTATGTAATACCCCAACCCTTGAGAGGGTGATGTGATTAGTATTGATAGATTTGATTGGAATACTCATACCACCAAGATGCATCTTCTTTTCGGGAACCCAACTCTTAGGAACTCCAAAGTTAAGCGTGCTTAGCCTGGAGAAATTCTAGGATGGGTGACCCTCTGGGAAGTTTTTCAGGGAGCGCGTGAGTGAGGACAAAACGTGCTGAAAAGACATGTGGTGGTTTGTGAGGCCAGTCCATCAGATCTAATAGTGTACCGACTCCGGGATTCCGGGGCGGGGCGTTACAGTTTTTCTACTTTAACATGAGCAATGGATATATTAACTTTGGAATTGGCCGAGGCTGTCTAGCCTAATCCTACTTTTTCCCTTCCCTAGATTTCTAAGAAAATAATCTTATTAGCTTTCTCAGAGGTTAGTGGACCACTAATCACCGTATTTATAATGAATTCGATTGTTTATATTTATATTTTACTTGTTTGGATGACAATCGTATAATTAAATACTATCTAGATCTTTAATAATTCCTAATTCTTTCCGTCAATTGACCCAATCAATATCTCTATTCCTTCATTTTTTTAACAATCCAGCGATGCACCATAAGTTAACAGTTTCAAGAATAAAAATGTCAAATGCAATATAAGCTCCCAAATAGCAGTTGTTTGGTGGGAAAATTCAAAGAAGAGAATTGAGAATTAAATTTGTATTATTCTCTCTGACGGTCTCAGAAAAAGAATTAATTACAGTTCTCTCGATACAATTTTTTCTAACAGACTTAGAAAAGAAATTACAAATCTTATCGATCGGATTCCCGATTTACAAAAGAGAGAAGGGTCGACTGAGATCCTTCCCTTTGTTTAAATCCGGGTTCTTCTTGGTGTCGATGAGATGCTTCTCTCAAAACTCGTGTCGAGTTTACTTCTCGTTGACGATCCGATGTTTCACCTCGTGGAACACAATAGCTTCCTCTTGATTAGATGTTGAGGAAAACTTGCAAGGAAAATTTATAACTCTAGCGAGTTTAGGAACTGTTTAGTGGAAAATTTATAGTAAAAAGAAAAAATTGAAAGAAATATATTTGATTTGTATTCTCTCAATCTCAATTACAATTTGAATTTCCGATTACAAAAGAGAGAAGATTTGATTTGAATTCTCTCATTTGTTTAATTCTGGGTTCTTCACGGTGGCGATGGCGTACCTCCATCGAATGCTCGCGTTGAATTTGCTCTCCGTTGACGATCTGCACGTCTCAATTCGCTGGAACAACTAACTTGTGTTTTCGCTAAAAGTTGGTTCTGTTGAGGAATTCATTATATCTTCGTTTGATTACAACAAATTCAAAGAAATAGTCTTTTTATAAGACCTCTTCTACACAACAAAGCAAAAATTATAACTTTTGAGAAAATAACACAAAAATCGTCTATCGATTCTTGTTTTTGTGGGACTTTGCCTGTGCCGGGAACGCTTTGGTTCGTGGACCGCCGAATCACAGATCGTGAAGGGGGTTTAATGATTCTTCCTTCGTTTATCGAAGTGAGAATTTGAAACGATATCTTATCAAAGTAAGATAGTCGTTCTTCTTAAAATCAAGTCAAAGCTTAATTTCAAGGATTTGCAAGAAAACTCAAATCTGCTCTCTCTGCTCTGGATTGCTCGAAAATATGCTCGATCCTCCTCAGATGTTTCCCACGTCCCTTGGCAGTTAATGGACACGTGTAGGGCAGTTACAAAGGTGGTTTTGATCATTTCAACACCGTCTCGTTGGCGAGACAGCAAACACTGTCTCGCTGGCGAGACAGCAAAGACTGTCTCGCTGGCGAGACAGTTCATATCTGTCGATTTCTTTTGAATGATTTTCTCTATGTTTGGATATCTATTAGTATTTTTTGACGCCTACAGATATCCCCTCCAAAGTATTCCAGACTCATTCTTTTATAGAGGAGCATGGGATACTTTGGATAAGATAGATTTTACTTACGATCACTTCAATGCTTGGTTGAGTTGATCGTGTAGAAGAATCTGTAAAATGGCTTCGACTCTTGATCTCTTCATCCATTAGTCTATTCAGTTCTTTGTAGAATAGCTAATACTTCTCCGGCACTGCGTTTATCGCTCGACCGTTGTTGAGATCTTGAATTGAAGTTGGTATTTCCAGATTGATGCTCGTTTGTCTCTTCGAAAGTTCGTCAGGTTATCCTTAAGAATATTCAGATTACTATTCTCCAGAAACTTCCTGTCGAATGTAGGAAAATAGTTTAGGCTCGTGTATCCATTGGAGTATCCATGTGTATTGAAACAGCACGATATCGCCAAACAATCATTGCCGTCTCATGATACGAGACAACTTATACTGTCTCGTGGTGCGAGACAGTAAATGCTGTCTCGTGGTGCGAGACAGTATATACTGTCTCGCGGTGCGAGACAGTAAATACTATCTCGCGGTGCGAGACAGTAAAGTCTGTCCCTCACGGCGAAGTCGGGATTATAAAACCCCGACTTAGGGTTTTTTCTGGGTTTTTCACGTCAGATTTTGGACGATTTTTGTTGATTTCTTGGGCGATTTTCTGCAAGCTTCGACCAGTTCTCTATCTTTTCTCCTTCTCTTCGTTTCTGATTCGTGTGGAGCTTTCGTTTGTGGAGATTTTACTCGGATTTTGAAGGTTTGTTCACTCTCTTTCTTAAAAAATCTCAACTTTCCTTGACTGTGACTTTGCATGCAATGTTTCTGGCGCATATTGTGATGTATTTGAGTGTTATCCTTGTTGATTCTGAGCCCGAAACCCTAATTTTCTTATTGGGTTTCAATGTAGTTTGCGCACTCATCATGTCGCCGTGCCGATCCAGAAGTTCCCGAGGCCGCTCGACTGCTCAGTCCCCTGAAGAGACTGGTCCCGCTGCTGTTTCACATGGGGGTATATTTCTTTTGCCCTTTCACGAATTTAAATATTGTATTTCGTCAATTTCATATATATGTACCTGTATTTGCATGCAGATCCTCGTTTGTATCCTTTGAGATACCCTCGAGAAGAGCCGGTATCCTCCTTTGAGGGGATCGACGCTTAAAAGTGTTTGTTTTGCTTGGACAAAACACTCTTCATAATACACAGGGGTGATTTCATATCATCCCATATGTATTGAAAGGTTCTGGTATGCCGTTATAATGCCCGTGCATAGTAACACATATCTCCTTTATACATATGGTAGATGGAAAATCGTCACACCTGTTATGAGATAGCGACTATATCTTATGGAGTAAGATATACCGTTTTCTCTAAAATTTTAGGACTATACTTACACAGCTTATGTGTATCTCCTGTATCAGTCCATTTTCCTTCCACAATCTTCACCGTCGATGCAGTTACGGGCCAGAGTAGTGTCACTCATTCTTACTATGAGGGGCTACCGTTAATTGAGTCTGCTCCTCAGTTCAAGTCAGATTACAGCGAAGGGGCCCGAGAGTTGATTCAACGAGGTAGTTGCCGTATTCTGCGATGGTTAATCACGGACGCAACCTTAATTTCAGAGCAGGACTCAAACCAATGTATAAGGAAACCAGACTTCTTGTTTGGTGACTCCATAAAGGATCCGGCGATTGCTTTCTGCAAGCCTGCGCAGTGGTTACACGAGGATGGTTCGTCATTCCTGTACTTGCCTTTTATCCCTCGAGAGCATTCACTGTTAAAGTTTAGGAACTTATCAGTTGGATGTGAAATGTTCTGGAGGTTAACCGAAAACCACGAACGTATTCATTGCGGTTTCATCGGGAAAGAGGCTACTCCAGGTTCCAGTGAAATAGCTTCTATACGAGGGCTTCATCCGGGTGTCTTAGGCCAAGACAATATACCTCAGAATGAAAAGACAGCGCAGGCCAACACCGTGAAGAATCGTTTGGCTGCAATGAAGAAGAAATTACC